ACATCAGAAGGATTATATAATTGGTGAGTTTGACTCGATTGTATTGGCTTTGCTTGATTTACATTCAATGATTTGTATAATGAGGGTTACTTATGCCTTAATTCCTCTTCGTATTACTTATTTTTCCACATTGACTGTAAACTAATCGCGTTTTCCAATGGATCTATTGTAGTTCCTATTTAAAACGAAGCATCCTTCATATTTTCCATCACACTTTTCCCATGTTCGGTGTTCTTTGACTTTTGAACCTACAATCGCTTAATATTTTATTTGTGCACTCACCCTTAATTAATTCTCTTTGTCGTACATGTATTTTCTTTTTTCCCCAGTTTCTGTTTGATGATTAAATAGCAAGGAGAAAGGAATACATTCGCCCATCTGCCAATGTCCGTTATCCTTTTCTCGGGCGCAGATTAATTCACTCGATTTACTGAGACTTTAATCGATTTTTTTTTATTATTTATTTTGATTGATTATTTCAATTTATTCCAACATATATTCTTCCTAAACGCTATTCTCTTCCTGTCCGTACTGCAGCTTCCACATTTTATCGATTTAACTTCATCTTTAGTGAAATTTGTCTTCTACTTTCAGTCTATAATAGCGATACATAAACAATACACCACATTACTACGAATGTATTTAATTCGCATGTTAGATGTGAATTCTTTACTATATCATTTCATTTCATTACTTATATCATATTTTTAAGTAGGGCCTATAGACTTCCACTCTCGAATTATTAATACCTGTTCATATGGTCCTGTAATTGATATTATTTTACTTTTACCCCTTGCTGCGCATGCTTCCCATCAGCACTCTCATTGCACATGAAACCGGATGGTGCAGCCTCTATTTTATGTCATCACTATTTCACTAACTTAAGTGCTATTGTATAAATAACTTTCAGTGTATGCTGCACTTCTTTCATATTAAAATCCATGTGAAAGTCATGATGTTGCTTGTATTTACATTTACAGTATACTTAGTTACTTATATTTATACTAAGTTTATTACTATACTGTCAATAGATCTTGAATGGAGAATCTACTAAATCTGTATCGTATAGGTCAATACAAAATGAATTTTTACGCAATGGTGAGTGGGAATCTGCCTGTGCATGTCTACACTATTAAACACTGACATCCTTGGCCTTATTTCCTACTAGTAACATCTTGAATATATATGCCGCAGTACCTCTAACCCATTCTCGTTCAGGCTGCAACCTAGAAATTCCCGTCCATCCTGGATGAGAATTCTTTTTGCCAGGCAAGGCTATGCTAAATTCATCGGCATCGTGAGGCCTATCTACATTGCAAAAAATTCACCTAATACTCCTTTAACACATGACTTTTTGATAATAAAGGAAATGAGTATGAAATTATTTATCATGTTTATTTCACTATTTGGATTGCGCACTATGCTACTAAATTGAATACCTTTAATTTGATTCGCTGCTTAATGATGAACAATTACTTCTAGTAGTTTTCTTTTTCTTTTAACTTACTTCAGGATACCATTCTCTAATGTCTGCGTCGCATTGCCTTCAGTAATCTCTGAGTTATTGCGCTTCAGTTATTTCGTTGCCGGCAATCATTTCTACGAGGCTACGAGTTTGCATGTTCATGCGAAAAAAAGTTGTCCCCAGCTTCGGATTTCATATTCTCCTTAACATCTTGATTGTTTTCCT